GGCATTCTTTTGTCGTGGATAATGGCTTAAGCAGTGAATGTGGAGTACTATTGATGTGGCGTTTTTCTAAACCTACAGTCACAGGCTTCAGTCGGGGTGATACACAATTTCATGATGCACGTGCATTTCTTGTAGTATGCGTTTCACGCGTGCTTGTAACGTTATGTTTTTTTAACGTTTCTTTTTTTAAACATTTTGTCGACCATTCCTCTACATGTTGGGATTCAGCATGGATTGGTTTGTGTCAAATATTGTTCCTATGTCAAGTTCTTTTTTTAAACAGTATATTTTTTTATGAAGAATTAAACACGTTTTCCATCGCTGACAACATAGATATATAAGTTCCAAAATCGTTTGTGTTCGATTATGAGATAATGTGATCGATTATTTGGTCATTTGGTCACTGCGACCAATCTTCGATTATTTCAATTAATCGCAACAGCACTACTTAGTCTGTGTATGAAAGTTTCCTGCAAGTGGCACCCATCACAAAGTTCTACTCAAAGTAATGCCCAACTATTAATGACACGAATCACCTTCCAGCCACTCCCACTGATAATACCACTTTCGACTTCTTGATATGACTTTCTTGAAAACTAAAAGTTTGGTTTCATTATAAGCATTAGTTGACGGCTCCTCTGTTTTCCAGCACCCAATGAAGATCCAGGTTAGAATTATTCTTCAGCAACCCATGCTTGTCGTAAAATGCTACTAACGGGATCAAGTGGTCAGAAAATCAGACTTGGTTGACACATCGTATCCCAGATCAATGCTCATGCTGCTGATCACTTATTCTTCAACAACCCATGCTTGTCGTAAAATGCTACTAACGGGATCGAGTGGTCAGAAAATCAGACTTGGTTGACACATCGTATCCCAGATCAATGCTCATGCTGCTGATCACTGGACTGTCAGGTCCAGACTCGATTATTTTCAGAGCGCTGCCATATAGCTGGAATATTGCTGAGTGCGGCATAAAAAACGAACATTTTCCGTCAACAATGTCAGATATGGGACCGACATCATCAGCAAATAGTGAAAAGAACAAATATGTTATGGCTGGATGTAACTCAATACCATAACTACAAGTAAGTTGTTTCAAGTTCCCTGCCAACTCATAAATAAACAATGAAAATAAATTGGGGCTGAGTACGCAACCTTGGCAACACCTTACTTTGAAGCAAGTATGAACAAATATTACATATTACACATGAACAAACTTTACAATAAACAGACTAGGTACATTTTAACATTTTTTGTACACACTCTGTACCACATTCCATAACTTTGTCCAATGAACACCAAACAACAAACACAGTCACATGCACACACAGGTAAGTGGTGCTGCGAACTAACATCCCGGGATGACCCATCACAAAAGAACTATTCATGAGTCTCCATCTTTATTCAAGCTATAAATGATTAAAATACATGACACAAATAATCATCCATAAAATCTAACAAACTGATTCAAGATACCATGATACCAAAACCATTAATGTCTATCAAACAAAACACAGGAATGGTTTCAATAATTCATTAAAACACTTCATGTTTGTAGCCAATTGACCTGTAGATTGTACACTTTTCAATATATAACATGGAGCAGCATTAGCAGAGAGTGAAATGACTCAAGCCAACCCAAGACGGTGTAACATGGGGCATCCTATACCATGTGTTAATACTGATTTAGTCAGCTCAACCATGAAAGGTTGACACACTAGATCTTTCAGTGATTTCATTAAGTGATTTCATTAAGTGTGTGATTAAATGTTCAAAATGCTGCATCAGCAATATTGCAGATATTCACAGCTGTCAGAGATTAAGGACAACAATGAAACTGCCAAATTCATCATTAGGAACAAAACTCACAGAACAAGACTGCTGAATTATTCAAGATCTGCACTATATTACCTTCAAATCACTCTCAAGCTGGTGAAGCGTTCTGCCAATATAATCAAATTTCACATCATTAATGTTACCATTTGTCATCAAGAAACTGCCAGTTCCATGCATTGATGTTAAGCCTGACTAAAACACCAAATATTCATTTGGAATTTGCCTCTTCAAGACATCATTTTGGAATCGATACTGCATTGTCCATAATGAACATCATCGACCTTGTTCTAAACACAGGCTCAAGATTTGCAATCCCACTTTATATTTTGGTTATGAAAAGAGCAAAGGACTATATATTTAAATCTGAGTCACAAACAGACTCTGCTTTGAGGAGCCTATTGCCAAAGCTAGCTTTTACCACGTGAGGGATCTGTATATCAGCAAGTTCATAATGTGTCATGTGGTTCTTTTATAATAATATAAGCTGAACAAATTTTACTCTTCTAAAAACTACACAAAGCAATACGATGTTGTTTTCTTACCACCAGAAACAAAGTTTGACGTAAGAGTAACCTGTAGATAAGCCAACCCCTTTCTACAGACTGCCTTTTTGGTCCTCAAAATTTGGCTTATCTACAGTAGTCATATACAGAAACAATCTGTATGTTTCAAAACTGTAAAACAATTAGCCGGTCACATGAAAAATCAGCCACTGAGCCACCCATAAAACTTTAAAACTTGGACACCGAAACTGCTGCTCTGATAAAAGGAAAGTACGCAATAAAATTTGGATCTTGCAAACATTCTCTTTAAAACCATGTGGTGCACCTAAAAGATCTCAAATCCTAAAACTTGAGAATATTATAAAAAATAGCATATAATATATAACATTTGTATGATTATTTCAAAATCTGGTGACAAGCTGCCATTAAGCCATACAACAGGGTGTTCTATCAAAACAGACTATGTCAAAACAAACACGCAGTGTAAGCCATTGATGTAGGTACAGCTACTACCAACACAAATATTAAAACACATGATAATGACAATAAATCATTGATAACTGAAAATTCATAATAAGGAAATCGACTGTAACCATAATAAACCTTAACAGATTGATTCCTCTTCTAACTGGCAACACGACAAAGACACAAAACAGACCACCGGCGCTTCATAGCATGCCAATACATATTGCTGTCAAGTGAAAGTAGAACATGTCACTCCCCTGTCTGACTCATTGGGTATGAAAACAACCAGACCCTTGACTTAACTGGAATCAATACATAAACTGAACTGGACATTTTGAATTAAGTTCAGTCTGTAAAACAAGAAATAAAATTGGTCTCGCCTTAAATGATAAATGACACTATATCCTAAAGCTTGCAAAACATGTTGGGTGATTATTGTGCTTTACTAAACACCAGTACATCGAGTGCATGAACAAGCTGCACACACATTAGCAGTATTCAGAACAAATCTTCAAACAATCTATTTGATACAAAACATTCACAGCATATGAACATTATCATAGCACAGGAATATGAATTCATAACTAAAATAAAAAATTAATGTTTTTGTAGTAATGGACCTTGTACATACATCAGCCAACACCAGGCAATGTCACACAAAGACCACTTTCAAGTCCCCCCTACAAATCCCCATAAACATAAACTGATTGCTAATAATTTGTAAGAGGAATTTACTTGGATTTAGTGATGTATTTTTGTCACAAAATATTACTTGCACAAGGTCATTTTATAATGCTGTATCACAAAGATTATATGAAATGTACATTGTTGATACAGACCTGGAATTCCAAACTTCACCCACATCCACTTTCTTACAGTACTTTTAAATCTGTTTTAAATACAGAGTAATACCTCCACGATATTAATCTCAGAAAATCTTCGTTTCAATATCCAGATTTAGATGTTCTTCACATGACCTTATAATCGAGAAGGGTAGAAAGTATAATATTCCAAGATAATACAGATTGTGTAAATGTTGTACATTAAATGCTATTAAAGAGGAGTTCCACGTTTTGTTGGTATGTCCTTACTACGCTGATTTAAAGACAAAATATCTACCACAATATTACCACACATATCCTACTACTTGTAAATTTAATTTGTTAATGAACTCTAATAATACAAGTAATATTCGCACACTTGGTATGTATATCTACCATGCTGGTGTATATAGAAACAACACCTGCAATCATTGTGATTGTGTGCCACTATTGTTATTGTTATTGTTATTGTTATTGTTATTGTTATTGACTTTGTACTACACTTCATCACTGGAATATCAGACGTTTTAGGGGAAAATGGTTTCTGTGATACTTACACTTAAGTCTTCAAATTTATTGTCACTTCTAACTGATGAATCAACTTATCCTTCACTGAAGTAGTTGTTTATTCTTTAATATTCTCAAAGACTTCAAATGAAAGATTTTCATAAATATGACAAAGAAAACATGCTTCGGTTTTGTGTTCCCTGCTTTTGATGAATGTTCCTTGACTTTTTGTTAGACATGAACAGAAAACATCAGCATTCATCCAGTTCCTAGACCCATCACTGTCTTTGAACAATCAACATCTACCTCCCTACAAACATACATCCGACATCCGTGATTGTATTCAATATTCACTGTAACCACTGTATGACTCACCATCATACTTCAGTGACAATCTACACAGTAACATGCTTAACAAGATGGAACATGATGAAACAAAAATGACAAAAATATGGGGAACAAGTCTCCCTCTTGATCTATCTGAACACACATTCTCCTATTAGAAGAAACCCTTGAGAAGAAAATCTCCCTCAAGCCTAAAATACTAATGGCAACATGATTGATGGCCTCTGTCTTTTCAAATCACTCCCCACCCCAGCCCCACCCACCATTTTTTCTATGGCTCATATGATGATGGAAACAATTACATTCCTTTCCGTCATATAGACCCAACATAATGTAGTAACATTATAATAATTATACACAAATGGGCTTCACACAATGTACATGTACTTATGTGGGGAATCAAACTCGGGTCTTCGGTGTGATGAGCAAAGTTCCAATTGTGAAAACTAAGAGAGCCCGTACATCCTTTATTCCAAGTACCATATCTCTCTTAAACAAATGTGAAGATACCTAAATCAATGAATTTATGTAAATATGTTTTGTATCTCTCTGATGTGTCAGTAGCTCTGCTGATGTAACACAAATTCCTGAAAAGGCATTAAAGTATTATTCTATTCTATTCTAAACGTGATTCTTCATAAAAACTACCGTCTTCATTATTATCACCTGACAAATATGTCAAAATGCTCACTCCAAGAAACAAAAAAAATGACCTAAGTGGAGATTTACTGTCACAACGTTCTTACTGAAGTATGCATAGCTTACTGTTGACTATTACATACACACACATATCACTAATTTAGCATTAAACAACAAGTATCAAAAAGATATACTGACTTGTACCCTTGTCATTGAGTTACAAACAAAAACTATCTACCCAACAGAAACCTTGATTGGCGCCAGAGTATTAGGAAAGCATGTACAACCCTCATGACAGCTACAGAAGTGACTAACTTTACACTAACCAGTTTAACCACTTCATGCAGTTAGGTCCAGGAACCTGAACCAACCCTAATCATAATGAGTGTTGAAACTTTAGGCTACAACAGTATGACTGCTTTATAGTGCAGAAGATGTCTATTACCCTTCGTCTCATGACATCCTAACGCCCATCTCGAAGTCACTCTCTTCCACACAACAAATCGGACGACCTTCTTGACCTGACAACCAATCAGAAGACCCTCTCAAAATGCTGATCAGGATTGTGGGATGGTCTGTGTGCTGGTGCATGAGGATGGACAGGTCCACGACGACGGGGCGGGGCCAGGTACTCAAACATTGACGTGGTATGCCTGGACAACATCTGCGTCAGCTCTGTTGGCATGGGATCCGACCAGAATAAATCATGATTCAAAGCAGTGTCACAGTCCAGCCTTTTAGATGGATCCAGGGTGAGAAGCTTGTCCAGAAGATCAATAGCATACTGATCCCGAACATACGGCTTTAACCTCTCCCTGACCTTCCTCTTCTGGCCTTTGGGGAGCTCAATCTTCCCATACAGCTCCAGCTTATCTACCCCCACCCACACCTCCGGGTTGATGGAGCCACACAACTGGCTGATGAGCTGGAGCTGGTGCTGCTCTGTGTTGCCCTGCATGATGGGCGATCGAGTCCACATTTCAGCCATGATACACCCTGCACCCCACACGTCAATCTGGGGGCCATAGTTCCTCTCCCCAAGCAATAGTTCTGGTGGCCGATACCATAAGGTCACAACACGGTTGGTATATCTGTTTGGCTGACTTCCTTTGGCAGCGCTGAATGCTCGAGCAAGACCAAAATCTGCCAGTTTGAGCGTGCCATTCTTGGTGATGAGGATGTTGGCTGCTTTCATGTCGCGGTGGAGGATCTTGTTGCTGTGAATGAAGTAGAGGCCATTGAGCAGCTGTTGCATGACCTTCTTAATTTCCCCCAGTGTGAACTTCACAAAAATGTAATTTTTAGAGTAAAATTGATATTTTATACTTATCCTGACTCATGCTCTTTTGCTTGTCTTCTTCTTCTTCTTCTTCTTGAACATAGTGGAACACTTGTATCTCCTTATTTGAAGCTCCTTCAAAATAAAATCACTAATTGGTACTCACCACGAGTTGCTCCCCTTTGTCTCCCCTGGCGGGAAAAGGTGTCGCCACCCTCTGGCCATGTGCTCCACTCTCTCCTGATTTAGCGAGCCCAACACTTGAATTTACAGGGAAATCCAAAGTGTTATGTGGGGAGGATGGGAGGGCTAACCTCATGAGTCAGGATAAGTATAAAATATCAATTTTACTCTAAAAATTACATATTTTTCCTTATCCTGACTCATGCTCTTTTGCTTGTAGCATCCTCACAGGAGCGGAGGTGGGTAACAGAATACTTTGGATTTATAATTAGTGATTTTGTATAGATATACTGTAATATCCCCTACGGGAACTTCATGAAGTCTTAGATTTAGGATGTTTCCTGTATAAAGAAAACCATAGGTTATATAAAGCCATTAAAGGGGAATTACATTATGAATATATTGAACAATACATATAAATTATATATATATATATATAGGTGACTCTGATAGAGGCACTGAAATTGACTATATCAAGTATATGCTTAAGGTAGAATACTTAAGCTGAACATATATACATAGCCCTAAAACTCCTTAGAGTTATAAGCTAGATGAGTATGTATAAAATACATATTAATCTTGTGAGGCTAATATTTTAAGCCCTCTGAGGGACTGTCAGTTGCTGGCGAGGACCAGTGGTCGAAATGGTGAATGCCAGAGACATCTTCTGTAGTGATGTCTCTTAGGTAGTGATTAGCAAATACCATGTTAGATTTCCAATAGCATCCTTCCATAATGGTGTTCAAGGAACAGTTACGTGTAGAGGCGAGGGTAGAGGCCAGTGCCCTGATCTCATGTGGATTTGATGCTGTTGGTGGGTCCAAGCCTGCTGCCTTGTAGGCCTGGGAGAATGACAGTCCTTATCAAATAGATATTGTGGTCCGTGACACTTCTGTGTTTGATTAAGTGGCGATAATGGGATGAATAAGCGTTTGAGAAATCTTCTCCTTGTTTTGGATAAAATTAAATAAAATAAACTTTGAAGCTCTTACGGACACAGTGATAGGTCTTGTGTATCTTGTGATCGAGAATAGAGGATAAGCGCCGGGATGTGGAATAATCTGTCTGGTTGACCTGGCAGTTGATTCTTTGCAATGAAATCCCATCTTAATCCGAGTGCTGTGTTATGATTGTCATCAAACTGTATCCTCTAAGTAATCCAAGTGAATTTCAGACATTCTTGCTGCTGTGGCTAGCGATAGCAGAAACAATGTTTTCTGTGAGAGAAATTCAAAGTTTATGCGATTCAAAGGTTCATAGACCTCACTTTCGTGAGGTGTTGTAACACTACATTCAGATCCCAAGCTGGAAGTGGAACTTCCGCTTTTGGTCCTCAATCGGAGCTTCGTAGTAAGGCCAGTAACTCTGGAGATCTTGTCAATTTGACACCCGTTCTCATGGTGATTACAGAGCTAAAGCGGCAAGATATGTTGATATCGTTGAACCTTTTAAATGTTTGTTTTGGTAGGTAACACAAATAGTCTGCCACTTGAGGTTGTGAAGCCTCTCTTGCTGTAAACCCTTTCTTTGTTGCATAATTTTTGAAACTGTGCCACTTGTCGTCGTTACAAGTTCACGAGTTGAATAGCGTAAAGCAAAGCGTGACTGCTTTTGCCGCCCTGGCAGAATATCCTCTCTTGTTTAAACACATTTGTATACAGTCCATCGTGTAGTTGGAACATTGCTGGGTTTCCGTGCACTTGTTTGGTGTGAGGATGAATTAACAGGTTTGCGGCAGGTAGCTCCAGTGTTGGTTGACCGATTTCTTGAATTAGTATGGGAAACCACGTTCTGGCCGACCAGTAGAGTGACGACAAAGTGAGTTATAGGCTCTGTGTTTGTCTGATTTTCTGTAATACTTGAGGTATTATTGCTGGCGTGAGCTTGGCGTCGCATTGAGGCCTTCCATGATAGACTTAAATCCGTTGCCCAAGCTTGGGGTCTGGGACTGGTGACCGCGAATGTCGGTAGCTGATTGTTGAATCGGCGTGGCGAATAGGTCTATTAGCGGCTCCTAATTGCTTGATTATCTGTGCAAAATTTCCCGGTTGATCATCCACTCTGTCGGTGATGGTAGATGAGGCCGAGAGGCGTCTGCTAGTATATTTCTGGCTCGGGGAATGTGCACTGCTCTGACATGTAGATTTAGATCTTGTATTAAATCGAACAGTTGAAAGCTTAGGTTCAAAAGGTTCATCGATCTCGTTGAGCCTTGCTTGTTTATGTAGAAACGCCACTGTCGAATTGTCTGTATGGATCATTAGGTAGCATTTTGTAGAAATGTGCTCCAATGTAGAATAAGCGTTGATTACAGCTTTCATTTCTAGACTGTTTATATGGAGTTTGCATTCTTGCTGATTCCATAACCCTGATATCGTGTGGTTGGTGAGATGAGCTCCCCAACCTTGGGTAACGGCGATCTACATACAGATGGGTTTTGTATTCCTGCTCTGCTAAACAAATCCCTTCGCAGACATTCGATTTCTTGGTCCACCATAGTAGATGTGGTCTGAGATGTTTCGGTAGACTGAATGGTTGTACATCGTTGAGATGTGCGTTGATGAGGACCTGTAGGGGACGTAACTGTAATCTGCCTGTGACAGTCATGTCTTGGGCTGATGTGAGAAGACCTAGTAGGCTCTGCCATTGTGCGCAGTAGTAGCGGAGAGTAGAGCTAGTGGAATGGTCTGTTGTATCTTGAATTTGCGTAAGTTTACTAACCAACCCTAGTTGTGTTAGTAGCTTTATGATGTAATTTAACTGTAGTTTGAGACGCAGTGGATCTTGATCTACTTGTATCCCGTCGTCGAGGTAAAACGCACTGCGTAGCCCTTGACGATGTAGAAATTTGATAATCGGTTTCGTTATCCTCGTGAATAGCCAGGGGGCTGATGATATTCCGAATGGGAGTACTTTCCACTGGTAATGTAGCCCTTCTAGAGTAAATCGTAGGTATTTCCTGGAATCGGGATGAATGGGGATGTGCAAGTAGGCATCCTGTAGATCTATGCTGCCCATGTAGTCCATAGGGCCGAATCATCTGGCGTAACTGAGAGTAAATGTATCATCACGCGAGAACCCGGTGGTTTTGCGTAGATAGTTCTTGTTGAAAAAGCTCATGTTGTAGATGAGTCTGTATTTCTCCGTGGAGTTTTCTTGGGAACTAGGAAAACTGGGGAATTAGAAACCTGGATTCGGCGTTTGCTTGATCTATTACTTCTATGGCCTGTTTGGATAGGAGTGATGAGACAGCCTCTTTTATCTTTGGTAGTTGTTGTGCTTGTAAATCGTCGAACTTGGGGGTTTGATTGTCGAGCCGGAGGCTTATCCTGTAGAGGGATCTGAAATCCGTGTTGAATAATGTTGGAGGCGTAAGGATCTTGCAGTATTCCCCAGTTTTCCCAGTGTAGTTGGAGGCGTCCACCCACTTGAGCTGGATTTGTACTGGAGCGGCTGGGGTGGAAGACTCAGTCGTTCGAACCTGTGTTTCCAGCGTCTATAATTGCGGGAACCTCTGGGTGTCCTGCCTCTTCCCTGATCCTCCTCTATAGTTGCCATATGGAAGCCGAAAGAATCTTTACCTCTAGAGCTGGCTATCTTCCTGTCTCTTGCTCTTTGTAGGCCCGTGAACTTAGATCTGCCTGAGTATCTTTGTGAAGTCCCCAGCCGAATGGCTGGCTAGTGTGTCCATCGATCTAATCATAAGGACTTCCCTGGAATCCTTAGAGACTTCCTTGGCGACCTTAGCCGATTTCTCCGTCAAAGATGGATGTTATGCGACCAGGGGCTGTATAAAGTGGGGCTGTAAAGTTCTCCCCAATTACAGGGAGAGGAGGCCTTGGCGACGAGCTAAGATCGAATGCTGCTGAAACAGATGTAAGATGATCCGTTAAAACTGCTGATCTTTCTTTTTGCATAAGTAAGGCAGAATAAATCATTCTATCATCTTCCGTCGTGGAATCCGGAATCTAGTAATAAGAGTCTCATTGATGCGTCCTAGATCTATTTAACCCAAAAGAACATCGTCGTCAGTCATGGTTTCTATATGAGCCAACTTGCGATCATCCATCTTGTAAATCTTGTTCTTTACATGGCTGATGATCTTATAGTTCTCATCGATGTCCTGGGCCTTGTAGAAGGAGTCCATGTTATCGTGGAGAACTTCTTGGCTTGAAAGTTGGGTAGATGTGGTATCTGAACTTTTCGTAGCTTTCTGGAAGCTGCATCTAGATTCTAATGGCACTGCCGCAATCGGGTCGATCGGGGTAGAGTGATTGCATCTGGATCATCTTCCTTCATCAAATCGTCTGAGCTGTATTGCCACTTTTAGATGGTGATGTGAGGATCTAGGTTATTGACCATCCAATACCGTATCTCTGCATCAGAAAATATGATTCCTCCATCATCCTCAAAACCATCATCATTAATAAATTGTAGATGCTCTTGGGACTGCGTGTAGCTGTCTGTATATCTGATGAGGTTTGTGGCGATCTAGTTGACTTGTCGCGCGCTCTATGTGGAGATCTGATGGGTGATCGACCTGGTGATGAAGCGGAGTTGGAGATCGTCTATGGGATGATCTTCTCGGAGACTTGTGAGTGAATGTTGATAGCTTGCGAAGCTCTTCCGGCGATCCCTCGATGTTCTTCTAGGCGATGAAGATCTGGAATCATATGTCTTTAAGCGAATGCCTTGCGAAGCTTCATTCGTCGGTCGGGGGATCGATGATATGACCTTAGCGAAGGCTTCCGTGATGTCTGATGGTCTGAGTCCATATCTAGAGATGAAATCGAAGATGGTGATGATCTCTCCGCCCGCCAGCGAAGGCCTTCAGCGAAGGCTGTACATCTAGGTCGCCGTCAAGGTGGTGCGGGACTTCCTTGGCGAAGGTGACATCGTCTTGGCTGCTCGTTGGCGGGGGTGCCTCTGGGGTGCTGTCTCGTTGGAGCCTTAGCGAAACTTCGGACCCTGCTTGCGCGGTTTGTAGTGGTCCTCCATGATGTTCATAATCTGCGCATCATGTCTTCTGGGATGATCTGTAGCCGAAGTCGTCGGCGTCTTTTCTGCGATGGGGTTCACATCAATGGCGTCTGGCGTCGGTGTAGAGGCATCAGGCTGCATGGAGATCTCTGCAGAAGTCACGGTCGCTGACACGGTCGCTTCTTCTGCCGTAAGTCGGGGATGATTATCGGCTGATCATCGTAGAGGCCCAACTCTGCTGCTGGAGCGATCTCGGCTGAAAGTTCTTGCTGTCTTCGTAGATTTCCCTTTGGAAGTCTGCGCTGCCCTGGAGTGTCCTCAATCTGCGTTGAGGCGGCGATGAGGAGCCCTCTTAGACTTAGTCTGCAATGGCCGGGATGTCTGGGGGAGGCGGTCGTTTCTTCGAGTAGCGGACTGCGTCCCGTTCCTCTGCGCCCAGGGTCTCTAGCAGAACACCAGGCGGGAGAGAGGTCGATCGCTAGCAGCTGACTGGAAGGAATATCTGGACTCTCTGCCATGTTTGCCCTTGTTTGCGTGATCTATCTGCAGCCGCGTCTTAAGGCATAAAGATGATATTTATTAAATGCAGAATGAGATAAATTAATGCAGTAACTGCAAGCGTGAATTAAGCGCTTACCGCGGCATTAGAACAACTAGGGCATATTACATGTGGATCGGAGGCAGAAAAAGCGTAATCTACAAATCGTACAGATTTTCATGAGCGTAAAGCTAGCTGAACAATCCGCGAATACCGTGAATAAACAGTAGAAATCACGATAATTAATCAATACAAATGAGTAAAGGATACTAGCTATACCTCTATAGTAACCTATGAGGTAAAAACTAAGAGATTATCAAAGGATATGTGTGTAAGGAGACACAAGGCGGCTCTCATCCTGCTCACTCACTGAAGAAGAAGAGAGTGAAGCACATGGCCAGAGGGTGGCGACACCTTTTCCGCCAGGGGACAAAGGGAGCAACTTCGTGGTGAGTACCAATTAGTGATTTTATTTTGAAGGGCTTCAAATAAGGAGATACAAGTGTTCCACTATGTTAGCAAGAAGAAGAAGACAAGCAAAGAGCATGAGTCAGGATAAGGAAAAATCTTCGGGTCTTCGGTGTGATGAGCAATACATTAACCACTAACTAAGTTACCCCGCCACTCGGATGACGCCCTTTCAACTGGAAAAGGTTCATGTCTGAACATGATTATTTGTATCACTATTATCATCAACATGTAGAATGAGGGAGTAGGTTGCAATTATTGCCACTTTCAACAGTATTTCAGTTACCAGGGCTCAATTTAGTGCTTTGTATATATTACAAAGTGCAACCTAGTTATAAGTCTGACTTGCACCAGACGCAAGTCAATTTTTGAGTGGATGAACTTCTGAATAAAACATCTAAATAATTCAATAGCATATTTCTGATATTACATATTGCAATAACAACAGTGCAACTGGAATTTGGCTGGTGCAACTAGGTTTTTATCTTAGGTTGCACCTGGTGCAAGTAGGTTAAAATCTCTTAAATCGAGCCCTGGTTACACCACAGTATTTAAGCTTGACATGGAAAGCAGTGTGAACTGAAGCTTTTGTTGACTGACCTAGAAATGTAAGCAAGATGACACAAGATTTGAACAAAGTTTTTTTGTATGTCTAGCAGATGCAACTGTAAACAGCAAATTGCTGCACCTTGGATGACTGAGGAGTATATGACTGCCCCACCGTATGAAGACACGGAAATATATGTATACTGTCCTTTGCAAACAGATTTCATACCTAACCTTACACTATTGCAATGTGCACTCGTGGGGATTCTAAGTAGACCCAAATTGTGGGGATTCTAGGTGGACCCAAATCGTAGGGATTCTAAGTGGACCCAAATCGTGAGGATTCTAAGTGGCCCAAAATCTTGTTGAAAGACACAACTAAATGTATCAGGTGGTCAAGTGCTGTGACTTGGCTGAATGCAGCTGGGCACTAGACTGTCCAGTCAAGACTTGATTACGGACAAACTGTCAATATATATCAAGAATACTGTGGAGTGTGGCATTAAATAAGAAACACTGTCTGTCACTCTGGAAGTAATCATCTGTAAGTGGGAGTGAGTGACTTTTATCGGCAGAGTGAAAGTCACATTCCTACAATACAACTACAGTTTGACTGAACCACAACAGAATCTGAACATCAGTAGAGTCTGAACCAAGCAAGCAAAAGCAAAAGCAACAAACAAAGCCCCTTCAAAACAAAGTAAAGCACACTCAGCCAGGAGACTGACCACCTGATCAGTAGTCAGTTGAGAGGTAGTGCGAACATTCTGACTTCCTCCATCACAATCTCAACCCTACCGCTGACCCTGCATTTAGAACAGCCCTCTCACCTTTTGTCCGGCATATCTCCAGGAGGTTGACAACATTCTCGTGCTTGAGGAGCTGCAGTATCTTTATCTCTCGTATAGCCGTGATGGGGAACTGAAACACAGACACAGATACAGGTAACTTTTCTCGTAGCAATCATACCTCCTATTCTGTATACAGCAATGTACCTGGGGTACACATCTGAGGTAGCTGGGCCGACAACGACCCCTTCAGCTTTAATAAGTTAGTGAGAGACACAGACACAGATACAGGGCCCCGTTTCACAAAGCTCTTGTAAGCCTAAGATCTCATAACTTTTCTCGTAGCAGTCATACCTCCTATTCTGTAGCAGACTTACGACAATCATAGTACTATGATCATGATGCCAGCTTTGTGAAACGGGGCCCAGGTCCACAAAGAGTAAGTGAGTGAGTGAGTGAGTGAGTGAGTGAGTGAGTGAGTGAGTGAGTGAGTGAGTGAGTGAGTGAGTGAGTGAGTGAGTGAGTGAGTGAGTGAGTGAGTGAGTGAGTGAGTGAGTGAGTGAGTTTTACACCGCTCAGAGCACTATTCTGGCAATATCACAGCAGGGGACACCAGAAATGGGCTTCACACATTGTACCCAGTCCACAAAGAAGATACATACATCCCTGGATAGGCATGTTTCTATAAAGATGTATTACAGTCAATCACTGTTGAGTCAAAGTTATGTCAAACTTTCAGTCGTCACAAAGTACAAGCTGGGTCCCGGTATATTTTGTATTTCGTCATCATTTTGCTGTTTGATAAATCAAAATATATATGTAGGTCCGTTCAACTTCGACATGACGACGTTTGACTGTATTTTAGTCTCTGGGTGTAATTTTCAATAGACTTTGATGCTTGTATATTGCCTATTGATGGATAGGCTTATCCAAGTTCACCGATCACATCTTGTGGCCTAAGTCAAAGGCTGAGTGAGTTGGTATTGTATCACAGTCAATCATCCCACTGTCATGATAGACTCTAACCTAGGCTGGACCAGACAACATGTACTGGTGGTCTTGATGATCAACTTAGTCTGTATGGTCATCCCATGTAAATAATACACACACCAACAATAGTTCTCACACCACCAATATTACACACACAAACAACACTAAACACACAAACAATAGTTATCACACCATCAATTGTTCTCACACCACCAATATTCAACACAACAATAGTTCTCACACCACCAATATTCAACACACCAACAATAGTTCTCACACCACCAATATTCAACACAACAATAGTTCTCACACCACCAATATTCAACACACCAATAGTTCTCACTCGACCAATATTCAACACACCAACAATAGTTCTCACACCACCAATATTCAACACACCAACAATAGTTCTCACACCACCAATATTACACACACCAACAGTAGTTCTCACACCACCAATATTCAACACAACAACAATAGTTCTCACACCACCAATATTCAACACAACAATTGTTCTCACACCACCAATATCAAACACACCAACAATAGTTCTCACACCACCAATATTCAACACAACAGTTCTCACACCACCAATATTCAACACACCAACAATAGTTCTCACACCACCAATATTCAACACAATAGTTCTCACACCACCAATATTCAACACAACAACAATAGTTCTCACACCACCAATATTCAACACACCAACAATAGTTCTCACACCACCAATATTCAACACAACAATAGTTCTCACACCACCAGTATTCAACACACCAATAGTTCTCACTCGACCAATATTCAACACACCAACAATGGTTCTCACACCGCCAATATTCAACACACCAAAATAGTTCTCCGCACCACCAGTATTCAACGCAAAAATGGTTCTCACACCACCAATATTCAACACCAAGAATATGGTTCTCCGCACCACCAATATTCAACACAACAATGGTTCTAACACCACCAATATTCAACACACCAAAATAGTTCTCCACCCTACCAATATTCAACACACCAAAAATAGTTCTCCACACCACCAATATTCAACACAACAATGGTTCTCACACCACGCAATATTCAGCACAACAATGGTTCTAACACCACCAATATTCAACACAACAATAGTTCTCCCGCACCGCCAATATCAAACACACCAACAATGGTTCTCCACCCGCCAATATTCAACACACCAACAATAGTTCTCACACCACCAATATTCAACACAACAATGGTTCTCTAGCACCACCAATATTCAACACACCAACAATGGTTCTAACACCACCAATATTCAACACAACAATAGTTCTCCACACCACCAATATTCAACACAACAATGGTTCTCACACCACCAATATTCAACACACCAACAATGGTTCTCCGCACCACCAATATTCAACACAACAATGGTTCTAACACCACCAATATTCAACACACCAACAATAGTTCTACCAACACCACCAATATTCAACACAACAATGGTTCTCCGCACCGCCAGTATTCAACACACCAACAATGGTTCTCACGCCACCAATATCAAACACACCAACAATGGTTCTCACACCGCCAATATTCAACGCCAACAATGGTTCTCCGCACCGCCAATATTCAACACAACAATGGTTCTAAGCACCGCCAATATTCAACACACCAGCAATGGTTCTAATAACACCACCAGTATTCAACACAACAATGGTTCTCCGCACCGCCAATATTCAACACAACAATGGTTCTCCGCACCACCAACATTCAACGCACCAACAATGGTTCTCCACACCACCAATATTCAACACAACAATGGTTCTAACACCACCAATATTCAACGCACCAACAATGGTTCTAACACCACCAGTATTCAACACAACAATGGTTCTCACACCACCAGTATTCAACACACCAACAATGGTTCTCACACCGCCAATGTTCAGCACAAACAATGGTTCTCACACCGCCAATATTCAACACAACAATGGTTCTCACACCACCAATATTCAGCACAACCAATGGTTCTCCGCACCACCAGTATTCAACACAACAATGGTTCTCCGCACCACCAATATTCAACGCACCAACAATGGTTCTCCGCACCACCAGTATTCAACACAACAATGGTTCTCCGCACCACCAATATTCAACACGCACCAACAATGGTTCTCCGCACACCAATATTCAACACAACAATGGTTCTCCGCACCACCAGTATTCAGCACAGCAATGGTTCTCCGCACCGCCAGTATCAAACGCACCAACAATAGTTCTCCGCACCACCAATATTCAACACACCAACAATGGTTCTCCGCACCACCAATATTCAACGCACCAACAATGGTTCTCCGCACCGCCAATATTCAACACAACAATAGTTCTCCACCACCGGTATTCAACGCAATGGTTCTCCTTACCTCGACAATATTCAGCTAACACCAACAATAGTTCTCCACCACCAATATTCAACACACCCAAAATGGTTCTCCGCACCACCAATATTCAACACACCAAAATGGTTCTTCCGCACCACCAATATTCAACGGACCAAAAATGGTTCTCCGCACCACCAATATTCAACACAACAATAGTTCTAACACCACCAATATTCAACACACCAAAAAATGGTTCTCCACCACCAATATTCAACACACCAAAAATAGTTCTCACACCACCAATATTCAACACAACAATGGTTCTCCGCACCACCAATATTCAACACAACAATGGTTCTAACACCACCAATATTCAACACAACAATGGTTCTCCGCACCACCAATATCAAACACACCAACAATGGTTCTCCGCACCACCAATATTCAACACACCAACAATAGTTCTCACACCACCAATATTCAACACAACAATAGTTCTAACACCACCAATATTCAACACACCAACAATAGTTCTAACACCACCAATATTCAACACAACAATAGTTCTCACACCACCAATATTCAACACAACAATAGTTCTCACACCACCAATATTCAACACACCAACAATAGTTCTCACACCACCAATATTCAACACAACAATAGTTCTAACACCACCAATATTCAACACACCAACAATAGTTCTAACACCACCAATATTCAACACAACAATAGTTCTCCACACCACCAATATTCAACACACCAACAATGGTTCTCACACCACCAATATCAACACACCAACAATAGTTCTCACACACCAATATTCAACACACCAACAATGGTTCTCCGCACCACCAATATTCAACACAACAATAGTTCTAACACCACCAATATTCAACACACCAACAATAGTTCTAACACCACCAATATTCAACACAACAATAGTTCTCACACCACCAATATTCAACACAACAATAGTTCTCACACACCGCCAATATTCAACACACCAACAATAGTTCTCACACCACCAATATTCAACACAACAATAGTTCTAACACCACCAATATTCAACACACCAACAATGGTTCTAACACCACCAATATTCAACACAACAATGGTTCTCCACCAATATTCCAATATTTCACCACACAACAACCAATAGTTCTCACACCACCAATATTCAACACAACAATAGTTCTCATACACCACCAATATTCAACACAACAATGGTTCAACAATAGTTCTCACACCACAATGTAGTTCTCACCACCAATATTCAACACAACAATGGTTCTCACACCACCAATATTCAACACAACAATGGTTCTCCGCACCACCAATATTCAACACAACAACAATAGTTCTCCGCCACCAATATATTCAACACAACAATAGTTCTCACACCACCAATATTCAACACAACAATGGTTCTCCGCACCACCAATATTCAACACAACAATAGTTCTCACACCACCAATATTCAACACAAACAATGGTTCTCACACCACCAATATTCAACACAACAATAGTTCTCACACCACCAATATTCAACACAACAATAGTTCTCACACCACCAATATTCAACACACCAACAATAGTTCTCACACCACCAATATTCAACACAACAATAGTTCTCACACCACCAATATTCAACACAACAATAGTTCTCACACCACCAATATCAAACACACCAACAATAGTTCTCACACCACCAATATTCAACACAACAATAGTTCTCACACCACCAATATTCAACACAACAATAGTTCTAACACCACCAATATTCAACACACCAACAATAGTTCTAACACCACCAATATTCAACACAACAATAACACAACAATAGTTCTCCGCACCACCAATATTCAACACAACAATAGTTCTCACACCACCAATATTCAACACAACAATAGTTCTCACACCACCAATATTCAACACAACAATAGTTCTCACACCACCAATATTCAACACAACAATAGTTCTCACACCACCAATATTCAACACAACAATAGTTCTCACACCACCAATATTCAACACAACAATAGTTCTCACACCACCAATATTCAACACAACAATAGTTCTCACACCACCAATATTCAACACAACAATAGTTCTCACACCACCAATATTCAACACAACAATAGTTCTCACACCACCAATATTCAACACAACAATAGTTCTCACACCACCAATATTCAACACAACAATAGTTCTCCACCACCAATATTCAACACAACAATAGTTCTCACACCACCAATATTCAACACAACAATAGTTCTCACACCACCAATATTCAACACAACAATAGTTCTCACACCACCAATATTCAACACAACAATAGTTCTCACACCACCAATATTCAACACAACAATAGTTCTCACACCACCAATATTCAACACAACAATAGTTCTCACACCACCAATATTCAACACAACAACAATAGTTCTCACACCACCAATATTCAACACAACAATAGTTCTCACACCACCAATATTCAACACAACAATAGTTCTCACACCACCAATATTCAACACAACAATAGTTCTCACACCACCAATATTCAACACAACAATAGTTCTCACACCACCAATATTCAACACAACAATAGTTCTCCTACACCACCAATATTCAACACAACAATAGTTCTCACACCACCAATATTCAACACAACAATAGTTCTCACACCACCAATATTCAACACAACAATAGTTCTCACCACCAATATTCAACACAACAATATTCTCACACCACCAATATTCAACACAACAATAGTTCTCACACCACCAATATTCAACACAACAATAGTTCTCACACCACCAATATTCAACACAACAATAGTTCTCACACCACCAATATTCAACACAACAATAGTTCTCACACCACCAATATTCAACACAACAATAGTTCTCACACCACCAATATTCAACACAACAATAGTTCTCCACACCACCAATATTCAACACAACAATAGTTCTCACACCCACCAATATTCAACACAACAATAGTTCTCACACCACCAATATTCAACACAACAATAGTTCTCACACCACCAATATTCAACACAACAATAGTTCTCACACCACCAATATTCAACACAACAATAGTTCTCACACCACCAATATTCAACACAACAATAGTTCTCACACCACCAATATTCAACACACCAGAAACAATCCACACAAAACTAAGGCTAAATCTTGAAGTAGTCCTTCCCACATCATCAGTCCTTCTGCTGTCACACTAGTGAACGTGTGTATTGACCTGCTCTTGGTCAGTTGCAAGATTCTGAGATGCCTGAGACGTGGAACACTGTACGTACATTGTCCTTTATTACATTACAACATTCTAAAGACTTTTTGTTCTTTCAAGAGCTACGGGAGGCAGGAGGTGAGCCTTGGGCCGAGGTGATCTTTGGGCGGAGGTACCCCCGTAAAAAGCAAAAAATGCTAAATCTAAACATAAACAGTCAGAGACGGCCTATCGTCTCTTGTACGCGAGACGGGTGCGCTCCGCAGTACTAACTGAAGCGCTTGACCCTAATTAATTCAATCACCGTGGAACCAACTCGATTGGGTGCAAACAAGGCTCGGGGTGATTAAAGCGTCCCGTAAAATCACCAAGCGTGGTGGTTACTTGACAGTCGTGAATAAACAGGTTTCTGGGGAAGAAACACCACGCCCAGGGTCGGTTGTTTACACATGCAAATTACGTAAAAACAATTAATCGCATTTGAAAAAATGATTTATTTTAGTGTCATGGCTAATTTTAGAAATGTTAAAGTACTCATCTTTGCAGTGAGTTCTGGAACATTTTGAAACTAATATGACCTCTACCGCCATTGCATCTTGCATGAATCAAAACTTACTTAGTCAAGAGATAAAGGCAGTAAGGGTCCCAGAGCCATCGTCACCAGTGTACTCTTGTGTCATATATCAATTCCACACAATCTCTTCCCCCAACTATATGTCCGCACAAAATGGGGGTGTGGTCGAAGCAAGCACTCTGATACTTGATGCCTGTTAAGGAGACATTTACAACTGATGCTTTCTTTTCAGAAACCATTGTTGGAATATAAAGTCTTACATTCCCAAGTCAGGCAGTCAGTGAAAGGAAAAATTTCCCACGAATTTATAAAGAATGTGCAGATTTACAAGCATTGACCAAACAGGGGGCTCCATGATTATGTTTACATTAAGTTGCTCCTCTACAACATATCCACTGCTAGAAAGGTTCACCAAGCTGATGTTAGTGTCAACACAAATAGCGCAAATGTTGCCATCCTAACCTACACGACTGCTCTGTGCACAAACACAACCAGTGAGTCTAAACTCAAAGCATAAGGTGTTAGATATTCTAGCCTGACTGGGATGGATCATGAACCTCAAGAAATCAACATGGTACCCAGCTAGGATTTGGTTTTCTTTGGGGAAACATTCATTATTCTCTCTCACCCGATCATATCATCATGATATGGGAGATGGTTTCGAATAATTCTCGGGTTTCTGGCTCAGTCTCCTGTTCTAGTACCTTTACCATGTTTACAGCGAGACATTCCGACTCAGAACGGTAGCCACACCCAATTGTTTACTGTCATCATGTCGCCGGAATGTTGCTGAGTGTGGTATTAAACAACAAACTATAAAGGACAATAGAAATGCATACCCCTTCCTTCTCATTCTCCATGAGCACCTTCTTCATGGCCACCAAGCTCTTGGTCTCACGATTCCTGGCCTTGAACACTTCCCTGTAACAATGCAACAACCAGTTATCAGAAACAATCAAGGTAACATATATAGAGTCATTCTACTGAAAAAAGACACATTATACTCTGATTAATTTCATATCAGTCTTTCAATAAATTCATATACATTGGATATATTGAACATGAAACCACATTGTTATTGTGTACAAGTGTTTGTTGGACAAAAGTCCCGACAGGTGAGAAATACTTGATGTTTGGTTTTTATTTTACATATGTAACTTAAGAATTTAAATCAAATTAAAAGTGAAAATGTCCAGTATGGAGTCAGCCAGATGAGGACAAGAAGATCTTTCTCACAAAGTTTCACAAACAAATGTCAATTTTTTCAATATATTCATAAGACATTTCTGTATACAGAAACGAACCTGGGGTACACATCTGAGGTAGCTGTGCCGACAACGAATCTTTCAGCTTTAATAAGTTAGTGAGATGTTTTGCGATTGTCTATGTGATGAGCGGGTAAACAATAAACGTTTCTTAAGCATCAAATAACCCATTAACAAGGATTCAAAGAAAATACGGTTCCAGGTGTACCCTAATGGTGGTGGTTTGTGGTATTTGCACACAGTACAACACAATCCATAGGACCACCACATTACCAATTTCTTCAATACCACAAAAGGTCACCTTCAGTTCATTTCAATCATGTTCAAATATCGTTGATCAATGATTTTTCAATGAATAAACTCTGAATGTCTAAAACTCAAATAAATAAAAAATAACAAAGTTAAAACTGTTACAAAGGAGACAAATGATTCTGGCTGGTTTCCTTGAATAGGTATTACTGTTGTATAGGCTTAGTAGTGAGTTGTCAGTCATGAAGTTCACAGTGATTAGGTCTTCCTCTATGATATGGTGTCTGGATCTACACAAGCCCTGCTTGTTGAGTTATATAGTTACCTTCAATGATTCAGACAGTTTTCGATCGTAAGTTTCTAATCATCTTACCCAAAAGTGCCTTGGCCAATTTTTGTGAGCTTCTCATATTTTTCACTGGCATTTTCACAATAGGGAAACACAAGGTCTTCCGTTTGACTACTCATTGCTGACAGAGCAGATTTGTTTTCTTCGATGTTACATTATTGCGCGATCAAGAGCAAGATTGTTTTGTCAGCGTATGTGTACTACGTCATGAAAAAGGTGAAGCGCGAATTACTGACATACATAAATTCAATTACACAACTAACGAAAGACAAAACGTTATCATTTGCAGTTATTTCATCAATAATCAGAATACTATTGGGTAATAACTCAGTAAAGAAAAGAAACGACGGTTTTGTCTATGTTGTGTGTGGTGTCTGTGTGTACAGAAATCAATGACGTATTTCACAAGCACCTTTCGTGTGTTCCGTTTTGGGTCAGTTTCGTCAAACCTGCGTTTGTTATAAAGAGTTATTTCAACTATATTTCAAGATGCCAAAGGTGGTGTCAAAGAGCGTTGTGTGTACGGACACGAAGGATCAAGAAGAATACCAGGGAGAGAAGCCCCTATATGTTTATTATTGTATCTGTGGACAAATGTGCCTCATTTTAGGCAAGTTACATTTCAACTATATACAGTATACCGGTATTATATAGAAGGTCTCACCATTTCTATACCCGTGAAGGTCCGGGTTAGAATATTGATCTTCAGTAACCCATGCTTGTCGTAAGAGGCGACTAACGGGATCGGGTGGTCAGGCTGGCTGACTTGGTTGACACATGTCATCGGTTCCCAATTGCGCAGAGTGAGTGAGTTCGGTTTTACACGGCTTTTAGCAATGTTCCAGCAATATCACGGCGGGGGACACCAGAAATGGGCTTCACACATTGTACCCATGTGGGGAATCGAACCCGGGCCTTCGTTGTGACGAGCGAACGCTTTAACCACTAGGCTACCCCACCGCCCCTAATTGCCCAGATCGATGCTCATGCTGTTGATCACTGGATTGTCCGGTTCAGACTCGAATATTTACAGACTGACGCCTTATAGCTGGATTATTGCTGAGTGCGGCGTATAAGTAAACTCACCATTTCTCTACCTGAGAAGTAATCTTGCGTGGAAGCTTCTGTGTTATGTAATCGATTCATTTATTACTGTTATCTGTTCAGATAATTGGTACAATGATATTGGTATTGGTACAGGTTTGCAGACATGGTGACAGTGGAATAGAGGTAAAGGTAAATCGATCCACTGTGAATTATTGAATTTGGGTCAACACTTCAGTTTACAGGGCGTAGGTAATTTCCCGAATCTGCTCAGATTCAAAGTAACACCTCTTTCTTTCAATTTAGAAATCTCATGTGCCACTTTGATCCTTTATGGTAGGAGCTGGTTAACTACCTGTGCCGACAATGGCCCCTTCAGCGACATTATGTGCTAACCTAGAGGCAAGAAAACAGTGTTGGATGATATAAGCAATGTTCTTTTAGTTGAGGTAGATACTCAATCTTTAAGCCTATGACGTATTACAAGAGATTATATATATAGCTGGGTACTAGATATGTAGAGGTGTAACCTCAGTATGAAATTATCAGGGACAACTCTTTTTTTGATCAGTCCATAAATGATAATTAGCAAATAAAAAGGAGAAACAAACAAGGGTTTTCATGGTTGTTAAAAATGTTGGATCTAAAAAGCACATCTGTCATGCATAGCCAGGGTTTAATCCAACCTATTGCTCTTCATTGCTGATGGGCATCACATGAAAGGTTACAGAACTGGTAATGTGGCCTGTACTTGAGTATTTGACATATGACTTATGTGTGTGTTTTTTTGCTTCAGATTGTCCAATGGACAAATTGCCACTCAGAAAACGAGACAACTCTCGAGTCATCGATGGGCAAAAGCATGCACACAAGTTGACCTGTGACCCTGATGACATCATATATCTCAGACGGTAAACTAAACTCTCTCAGACAAAAAAATTCAACATTATGTAGATAAAATCTATTGAAACACAACACTCTAAAATAGGCATTCAGTGTTATTTTCATAAGTCCTGACACATAATCGATTGCTGTGTTACTGTTTGTGGTACTGTCTGGTAAAAGTGGTAGACAACTACCAAGTACTTTAAAGATGTTTTTCATGAATTGTATGCTTTGATTACTTCCTGTTTTGCACTGACATCTTGTTTTTGACTGTGTTGATATTCTGATTGCTCTGGGGACTGTAATATTCAATATACCATGTTTGCTGTTTATAACCACTGTTTATGGTTCTTTACAGGCCTGAAGGTATTGAGAAGCAGTACAGGCAGAAATGTAAGAGGTGAGAATCAATAATTTATCAAGATCCCTGATATCAGGCAGCAAAATCATTTTCCAGCTCACCTATTACAAAGTCAAGTGAGCTATATTTTTGTACATTGTCATCATTTCTTTGAACTTAATATGAATGATTACATAATGATGTCTCTAAACTATGTCGAGACATAGCCGCCATGGTGCCAATTTTGAAAATGTAATTTTGTCCTTACTTTGTCACTTTGGCAGGTATCGAATTTGATACACAGCAAGGAAGTATTTTCCAGTGTAACATGATACAGCTTTTGTCATATTTTGATTTCATATCCAGCTGTGACTTTTGGCGTCCTCATAAATATTTGTCTGAAACTTGGCATCCATTATCTCAGCAATGGTGTCTCAAAAGCATACTCTCAGAATTCTGATCTGATTTTAGACATGGTTGCCATATTTCGAAACCCATTCGGGGCGGTGGGGTAGCCTAGTGGTTAAAGCGTTGGCTCGTCACGCCGAAGACCCGGGTTCGAATCCCCACATGGGTACAATGTGTGAAGCCCATTTCTGGTGTCCCCCGCCATGATGTTGCTGGAATATTGCTAAAAGCGCCGTAACACCAAACTCAGTCAGTCAGTCAGTCGAAACCCATTCAGGTATGTTTTTAATCAACAATCATACTTTCAAAGTGCATTGAAATTTGACAACGATGTAGTCTGTAATAATAATAATGTGTCCATTTATATAGCGCCAAACTCCACACTAGGTATACTCATAGCGCTAAGAATCAAGGCACAGAACATTATTACCCCTGATAACCCAAGCTGCCTGTTAGGCGCTAGAAGGTTATAGTCATATGACTTTTTCCACCGGGTACCCATTTTCCGGCTGGTTGAACAGAGAAATTTTGAACAAACTCACTTGCCTAAGGTGAGACCACATGTGTCACATGTGCTCTGTAGTGAGGCCGACTATATGTTTCCTTTATTGTGTATTATGATTGTGATTCAATCACTACCACATAATAGTGGAATTGTAAGCAGTTGCAAGATATTTAGTCACTACCAGTGTTAGTACTGTGTGAAAGGAAAGGGACGTAACAATGTCAACACACCTACTGGCAAACAAGGATAAGTTGAGCACCGACCTGACAATTGACCCGTATTAGCATGTATGAGTGCTGCCCATTGGCGCTTGCCATTGTTAGCGAAGGGGCCCCAGGTTGTCCACAATCAAGTGTAGTGTGATGGGTGAAACAAGGAGCAAGCGGTGTGCAGCTATGTGCTGAATCAATTTCATCATCATGCAATGCACGTGCACTAGCCTACATCTGCACTACCTTTCACAAACTAAATGGGTTTGCTCATTGCTGTGCACCACCTACTTCTCTCGTAAATGCGTTTTCTGCACCTGTCCAACTTATCCTTGTTTGCCAGTAGTTTGTTAATGGACAAGGTTAACAAGGATCACTCATAATACCCAAATGAAACAGTACACTCCTCTCAGAATCAGATCTATTTACACACACAATCATGATCATAAAAAATACATGAAAATTTTTAGAACCATACTTTGGGAGATAACATCTGAGAGTTCAAGAAACTGTTGAAAATCGCCTACCTCTTGACTTTATCAATAGTATGCCACACAATGGGCCTACCTTTTCTTTGCATCCCTAAATCAAAATACTTCTCGACACTGTACTATTTCTTTTCTCTCCCTGCACCACAAGACAGAGAAGTGAAAAAATAAGTTAATTAGTTATCTCCCCTGGTCAAGTCTATCCTTAATTGACCCATAATACCTGTCAGAGCCATGTTTCTTATTTGTTACCATGGTTACTGAAACTGAGTCGAGCATGAAAGCCTTGAGAGGAAAGGCCTGAGCCCTGTTCCACAAAGCAATCCAGTTATATGGGTGTCAAGTTAGATGTGCTACCTTAGACTGGTGAGGGTATGTGATCCTGCTGTGTGTTTATATTTCACTGCTGATGTCGTCCACGTTATGTTGATCAAGGTGTGGACTGTGGCTGTATTATCATCACCAAGGCAACAGCAACGTTATGTTTGTCATCGACGGTGCTCTAAAACGTGAGACAGATGGAATTAAGACTGATGTCTACAGTCAGTTAGCAGCTCCCAAGAAGGTAGGAAACAGGTCTCCTTTCCTGATAAAGTAACACTGCATTGGAGTCTTGCTTCTCTCTACCTGCAACATGTTTCTGCTTCCAGGTTACACTAACAAAGCACACAAAGAACATGGGCAAGTTCAGTTCTGTCACCGTGTCAACTGTAGACGAAGAAGAAGAAGAGATTGAGGCGGTAAGTTAATTGCTTGGGCATCACCTGTAGGTGGCCTTCAGTACTGTAATGTGTTATAATCACTTGAACATTATCTGTAAGTCGCTTCAGGACTGTAACAAGTCTGTCATTTTCATAGAAGTGGTAAATATCATAGACATGAATCAGCTCCATCCTCCTGTATAGGACTGGCATAAATGTTCATTCACAAATGGTGTCTTTGAACAATTCTGAGTAATACTTACTATGGTGTTGCAAAAACAATATCTGCACATGCAGTTAATGTCAATTACGGTCCAAAACTTTAGCTCCCAGTTTATTGCAGTGTATTGCTTTACAAGAGTTTGCTTTTTCAGTTTTAGTAAATATGTTGGTAAAAGTCTGTTGAATATGTTGATTTTGTTGTACAGAAAGAAATAGCCGATTCATATGCAGCCAATGCCAAGGTCATTGAGAAGCAGTTGCTGAGGAAAGGGATGAGTAAACGGAAGCTTCTGGAACAGGTGAGCTCAATAGTGGCAGTAGTTACACTCAGTTGTTACCCTTCCTGAGGTGAGGTGAGGTGAAATTGGGTTTAACGTCGTGCTTGAGAATATTTCACTCATATGACGACGTGCATGCGTGTGTATGTGTATGTGTGGCTGCTTGTACTAGCCCAGACTTAAGCTGGTTTTATAGTGCTAGCCCACTGAGATACCATGCCGCAGTGAAGCATGAATATCCCACTCAGACACATTATACTGACTCCGAGCCGACCAGTCCTTGTTGTACCCATTAATGCCCAGCGCCAGGCAGGGACCAACAAGTACCATATTTTAACGTCTTTTGGTATGACGCGGCCGGGATCGAATCCGCGACCTTCCGCTCTCCGGGCGGACGCTCATACCACTACACCACAGAGGCGGTCTTGATTTACAAACTTCCTGTCAGTATGACATGTACATGTCTCCAGTGGTTAGGCTGGGTTAGGCTGGGTTAGGCTCGGTCCCCAGCAACTAATTCTTGTAAAATGTGATTTGGTTGATTGTGTGTCACAATACCCAGAAATGTGGGTCGGTGCTCACAATATCAATCACTGTCAATCTGTCATCTAATAGCTAAAGGGGCGGTGGGGTAGCCTAGTGGTTAAGGCGTTCGCTTGTCACACTGAAGACCCGGGTTCGATTCCCTACATGGGCACATTGTGTGAAGCCCATTTCTGGTGTCCCCCGCTGTGATATTGCTGGAATATTGCTAAAAGCGGCGTTAAAGTAAACTCACTCACTCACTCACTCTAATAGCTGAAAAATAGCTACATGCAGTGTTGAAAATGTATATATCCTTGAGTCTGCACCACCTTAGTCAGTATATATCCTTCATTCACTATGGCATGTACTTGTATATATCCTTCATTCACTATGGCATGTACTAGTATATATCCTTCATTCACTATGGCATGTACTAGTCTATATCCTTCATTCACTATGGCATGTACTTGTATATATCCTTCATTCACTATGGCATGTACTAGTCTATATCCTTCATTCACTATGGCATGTACTAGTATATATCCTTCATTCACTATGGCATGTACTTGTATATATCCTTCATTCACTATGGCATGTACTAGTATATATCCTTCATTCACTATGGCATGTACTAGTCTATATCCTTCATTCACTATGGCATGTACTAGTATATATCCTTCATTCACTATGGCATGTACTAGTATATATCCTTCATTCACTATGGCATGTACTAGTACATATCCTTCATTCACTAGGGCATGTACTAGTATATATCCTTCAGTCCTGCTATGAAGTGTATGTCATTCAGTTTAATACTACAGCAGTTGATATATTTTAGGTAAGCAACATGCTTTATTTTCTAGGCTGAGGAAGAGGCAAAGAAGATGAGACCGAAAGGAACGCTGATTGACAAATGAGGAGTGCCATGGGTGACACTGTTCACCAGTTCACCAGCTCACCCACTGTGAGGATTGGCTATTGTATATCCTTATACCACATAGGGGTGCCACAGTCATTATACCTACGACTTTGTGCAACATTTAGCCATGTCCATCACTGTCCTTCAGGGTTGTACAAGCCAATGTCTGTAATAGGGGTTCTACAAGGAAGAGCATCTGTGTTTTCCTCCAGGGGCCGAACAAGTATGACTGTGATTGGATGTTATTCAAGACAGACGCTGTAATTACTGTCTGTAAGACAGACCTATCCCTCAAGGGATGATTTGACCTGAAATGGTGCGTAAATCTAACATGTGGGAACGTATGTGTGATGTGTAATGCAGTGTACAGAGCGATGTTTATATTGTCAGATATAACTACGAGACAAAAAGCATCCAGGGAGATTGTAAATGTGTACAAAAAAATTCATAATGTATATATTATCTTGATGTTGACAATTCACTGACATTTTCATTACCATGTGCCAGAGCAGATCAGCGAAATATGGGTTATTCATTTAATCAGAGTTGCATCCCTTAGTTTTGCCAGGATCAGAATACCTTTGGTTTGAATTCACAATTATGATCCACAGTTCATTGGAGCCCTTCTCATCTACGACAGAAGTAAATAATAAGTACCTGCAACTGTTCCGTCTTCCCTCCCACGTTCCGGGCGGTGGGGTAGTCTAGTGGTTAAAGCGTTGGCTCGTCGCCGAAGACCGGGTTCGATCACATGGGTACAATGAGTGAAGCTTTCTGAATATTGCTGGAATATTGTTAAAAGCTGCGTAAAAATTAAACTCAGTCAGTCAGTCAGTCCATCCCACGTTCATCAGACAGAGCTGAAACATTGCTCACAGTAGCACAAACTCCCTTCCAAACAGAACAGTATCTTTGTACAAGTTGTATATACCTAGTTTCTACATCAAAATATCTGACACATTGTTATGTCCCCTATGTATTCATGCATGTGTTAATTTGCTATCAGTGACAAAGACAGAAGTATATAGATGTTTTAGATGTCCCCATCTGTAATAGCTGCAAGCCTTGAATTGCTATATGAAGAGTGAAGCGGCTCACATTGAATGATGCTCATTTTGTACATAGTTGTCTTCTCATTACTGTGTAAACATCACATGAAATAAAGTCTTGGATTCACTATGTTGGTTCTGCCTGTCAAGGAGGGTCAGTTGTACAAGACACTTGTTGTGCAGAGTTGTCTATCTTGTTCTTCGATTGATGAAGAGTTTGAACCCCACATTAGCTCCAATTATGAACCAAAGAATACAATGTTCAATTTCTGGAATTGCATCACTCAGAAATTTACTTTCATCTGCTTGACCTGATTAAGCTGAAATGTTCTCACCAGTGTAAACACTAGATAACTTCACAGATCATGTTTGAAGAGTCATCAATCAAATTAGTTGCTAGTGGGTTTCATAACAGAAGAGAGACATGTAAGACCTGCATCCAATATCTCTTATCTGTAGGAGGTGGTGATGAATGCCCTGACTCCAACATACTTAGTTGTGGTGGGGTAGTTAAAGCATGCACTTGTCATGCCCAAGACCCATGTTCGACTCACCAAATGGGGACAATGTGTAAGGCCATTTCTGGTGTCTCAATCAATGATATTGCTGGAATATTGCTAAAAGTAGCACAAACCCTGACTCACTCAACAGATTTAACAGCTTCCTGAAGAAACAAACCTTGAAAGTCGAGGATCTGTTCATGGTAAGCTGCATCTGAGATGTAAGATCCACTGAAGACGTTTAACAGCTTCCTGAAAAACAAACCTTGAAAGTCGAGGATCGCCTGCATTTGAAGAAGATCAACCACTCATTGAAAGTTTGAAAAGTAAGGATGTACCAAACAAATATAAAACACCCATTAGGAACCATTCCTAATTTATGGCTTATTTATGGGTGATAATGATGGGTGGGTTGGAGGACAATGTTTGAATGACCCCTAAATTTGCCTATGTTACAAAGTACACATTCATACATACTTTCCACATATTGACACAAAATATCATCAGTACAAAATCAGTGACCCTCACTTCTTAGTTTCCATATGGGGATTTTGGTCATCAGCATGTAATTTTTAAGAGATGTTGCCCAATGCCACATAATTGAATGTCATTTTTCTCTTACCTCCCATGATATTTTTGGCACTGGTAAATTTGTGATAAAGCAGGCAGACTTCCGAAATCCATCCAAAAAGATGCAATCACCTTGAAAAGAACACATAATTATGTATGCATGATATGATATTTGGATATTTTGTACACAGACATATAGCATATATAACATGCAGATAATACTGTATCAACGACTAACGTTGTATAGAAAATCAGTAAAATATATAATATTAAAAAATAAAATCCGCCCTACCAACCCATTCTTTAAAATAAAAAGTGATGAGAAACAAGGAATTTATTTTATGTGGCCTAACAGCATTCAGAAAATATCACCAAACACACTGGAAAACCGCCATGAAGCCAACATCAACATTTGTACATTATCTTTGGTTACATCGGCTTCAATGTGAGGAATGCGAATCGAGGATTCACTGACAATCAGAAATCGCAGCTCCCAACTATGAGTTTCTTGTCAAATCCAACGTTGATATGACAATGATTTTAGGTACGCTTTTTGCGAATCGAAAACCACATTCTGATCATTTAACTTTTCAGTAAGCTTTTAAACTTTTCAGTAGGCATTTTAATGAATTTCGCGAGTATATAAGTCATAGAAAGTTTCTTTTAATGCGGCCTTCCTTGTAAGTATTTCAAAGTGCGAAGAGGCAAGGCACGATACCGGAAATACAGAGTTATCGGTCCTGAGCCAATGAAAATGGAGGACGCGCCTGAATTATTTTGTTGTGGGAGGCTGAAAATAAGATGCTAAGCAACACTTGTTGAGTAAAGATACAGGTAAAATTGTAAAGAGACACTCATTAACGATTTTGTTTTGTAAGGTAAAAGACGAGAATGTGAATTCGTGTACCAAATTGCTCACAAATACTGAATTCACCAGATTTCTACAAGCGACACTTGATTCGAACCGTGCTCGAAAATGTTTGGCAAATGTTATATTGTCCGTACATGCATAAGCACAGTTAAACAGTTAATGCAACAGTTGTATATTTCTGGTGTGTACGAAACTGCCGATCCAACAACATTTTCCCATTCACACAAAGTCTCATGTTTATAAATTTCGTCGAGCAATACAATCAACACGAGCGTAACGAGGAAGGACATATTTTATAGATATGGCCCGGTATTATTTGATAACGAACTGTATCTCTGTCAATAGACGTATCCCACCCTCATAATGAACTCCTGGGTTGCACCCTGCATGGACTGCAGGGTTTCTACATGATTGTCTTGAGAATTTACTGGAACATTTCCATATCATCCAAGGGGTACTTGCCCAAACGTCTAAATTAGTCAGTTTATCGTCTTTGACAATGGCTTTAAGGTCTTTGTAAGTTAGGTGTGAGAGTGAGAACCACCCTGGAAAGTCTTGAGGTACCAGTGGTTCCTAAGATGCCCTACATTCCAAAGTAGGAAATATTATTTAAAACAACAAATGGAGACTGAGCAATAAACAAATGCTCAACACTGTAACACCTCAAATTCTACAGCCATACCGTTGGCTCTATCACATCAATATTTGAAATCTATGTTTCAATGGTGGTATGAGTACATTTTATAAATAAATTAGTCAGGTTTGAACTTACATCCTGATGTAGCGACAAGAAAGTAGTATTATGTAGTGACCTTGTCAGTGTATCACCCTGATCATGTGGCACTGTTCATACAATTATCGTTTCGAATTAGGTGATAGTAGTTAGGGGGGCAACAAATCCACTATGTAGAAAATAAATACCACACATTTACTGAGTAATGCATTAGAGTATTGTCGAATACAAAAACAAGTGGGGTAGCCTAGTGGATAAAGTGTTTGCTGGTCACACTAAAGACCTGGGTTCAATTCCCCACATGGGTACAATGTGTGAAGCCCATTTCTGGTGTCTTCCTGGAATATTGCTAAAAGCGATATAAAACCATACTAACTCACTCGCTCACTCACTCACAATAACAAGTCAGCAGTTGATGAAGTATTCAGAATGTTCGGGGAAACAATAACAAATACATTTTTTACCATGTTGACAGCATTATTCATCATGACAATTACCAGTGGCCACTGTCAAATTAGATATATTAAAGTGTTGACTTATAATCCTGACTGGCGTGGCTATATTCCATTTTTAATTAGTTTAAGTATGAAATAAGGATAGGCATAAAATAATATTTTTACCCTGAAAGATATGTATTTTCTCAAAAGTGAGGCAATGATTTTAAATTTCTGGTACTGAAAATACAAGTGCTGTTGGAGGAATACTTACATTTTGCTGTAAAAAGTACTTACAAACAACTTGACACAAGGTTTAATGTTTCCTAGTTGTGTTTGTTTTGTTTTGTTACAGGTAAAGTGTAAGAGAAGAAGTTAAGAGTGAAGAAACATTACCGTGGAAGTATGAATCCTGAAGGCACTCTGGAGTTAACAGAGGCAGATCATGATCTGGGAAGACCCATGATCATACAGAGAGAGGACATGTCTCAGACTGTAGTGACGGAAGACCAGTGTCCTCAAGATGGCGTTTTACAGCAACATACCACTGGTGTAACAGTAGCAGATAGAACCAGGGAGATGGTGATGACTGGTGTGTCTAGCTCAAATATGTCCCAGAGCGTTGTCGTGGATGAGCAGATCCACTACCCCCAGGATGGCGTGTTCCAAAATGAACCTGGAGTCGTCGTGGAAGAGAGATCCCATGAGATGATGGTACCGAGGGTGTCGCAGGACATGGTGGTTGACCAGCAGGAAATAGTCATCCAGGACGACTCACAACAGGTGGTACTGGTCACTGTGCCGGACACCTCGGGGGGAGACAATGATGGTAATGTGGAGATCATAGTTACCACATGTGCATTATCATCAATAAATGAACATGTGTCACAACAAGTGTCACTGGGTCCTGTCAGTAAAGCAGGTGAACATTATGAACAGATGAACACCATGTCAAGTTCTGATAGAATTCTACCCCAGAGTGTTTGTGACTACAACAAAGCCATCTTTAACCGGGGCAACCACAGCTCCACTCATTCTGTGACAGTAGCAACAGACAGTGGAGATGGGGAGGTACAAGGCCTGGAAACACTGTATAGTCCAGTTGACAATATGTACAACCAACAGCTGTCCAGTGCAGTGGTTCCTGCTTTAGTAAACAGCACAGATGATCCCGTGTATGACTCAGCTGTGTCCTCTGGTATCATATCCTCAGCATTCCAGTCTGCTCTCAACACTGTGTCCACTACGCCAATGATAAGTCTCACTCGCTTCCCAGGGAGCCCAGTCAAACAAACTGACCGGGAAGGAGGAGTGCCGCTGCAAAGTGCCTCCAGCACTGTGGTTGCTGGGCAACAGACAAGTGTAATCTCCAGCACCAGAGTCCAGCAGTCATTACTGACAACTACCTCTATGACACCGCAGGATCAAGCTTTGTATGAAAAACAGGAAACTATGAAGAGTTTAGAGTTAGTTGATGCTCAGTGGAAAACTTCAGTTATGGAGAGTCCTTCAAAATCTGCTGAGACTGATGCAATGTTCCTCACTGAAAATACACCTGGTGAAGGTGCCGTTTTTGGCTACAAGGTAATTGACATTAATGCAGAACAGCCTGAACATGATATGGAACCAGAAGATCATCATGCAAAGATGGAGGAGGAAGCAACCAGTGACCTTGGCTCCAAGAAGGATGGTGCTGTTGAAGGTGATTCAGCTTCAACCAATGATGCTAGGACCAACAAGAGAAAGAATGTTGAAACTGTTGAGTCCGGCGGTGTGGGGACTTGCAAGGTGTCAGAGCCGAACGAGGTGAAGGCACAAGTGAGAGAGTGTGGTGTGTGTCACACAAGTTTCAGTAATGCAGAGGAGTTTGTGCTGCACATGATGCAGCATTCCTTGTATGACTCATTCATGTGTGACCATTGTGGCAAGCGGTTTGTTGATAAAGGTTCGCTGAGTCGGCATAAGCTGAAACACAGTCGGAATCTCAGACGGGAGTTCCACTGCAAGGAGTGTCACAAATCATTTACTACAAACACTTATCTTAAATCCCACATGCGGACACACACTGGGGAGAAGATTCACGCCTGTGATGAGTGTGATGAGAGATTCACTTTCTCCAACATGCTTCGAAGACATAAGTTCAAAGTTCATAAGGATTCCATCCGAGAGTGTCCCATCTGTAACAAGGAGTTTGTGAATGGTATGTTGCTGGAGAAACACTTAGCTGATCATGAAAAGCAACCTCCTGAAATGGGGGACAAACAGGACATGCCATCACTCAAAGAACCAACAAAGCGGAGAAGTAAAAGAAAGATCAGAAAAACTACAAAAATGACTGCTGCCAAAATGAGGGTGAAAAATACAAAAGCTGGCAGTAAACCTCAAACAAGAGGACAAAAGAAAAAGGAAACTTCTACAACATCTCCAGTAGTGTCAAATGTTCCAAAACCACAGCAATTTTCCTGTATGATCTGCCAGGAGAAATTCTCATCAAAACTTCTTTTGAAAAAACATGCAAGGACTCATTTAGGTCAGAGAATTTTGAGGTGTGATAAGTGTGGGAAGGTGTTCCAAGACTCCATCAAGCTGAAGATGCACAAGTTGTCGCGCACCGGGCAGACCTTCATGTGCGACTTCTGTGGGAAGAGCTTCAGCTATGCCTCCACTCTCAACATGCACAAGAAGCGACATGCGCAGGAGAAGGGCGTTCAGTGTAATGTATGTGGTAAGAGATTTGCTACAGCGGATATTCTTAAAACACACAAGACAACTCACACAACCATGAAGGCATATGTCTGTGATGTGTGCGAAAAAGCATTCACCAGTCAATATTACTTGAAAGCTCACAAGCGCATTCATACAGGGGAGAAGCACTATGGCTGTCTACATTGTGGGGAGTCTTTTATGTTCTCAACTGGACTCAGACGCCATGTTATCAAGGAGCATGGTGGGATCACATCAAAGAAGACACCAGAGGCTGAGAAGAAAGAGAACTCCCCATCTCCTGAGGATGATGTAAGTGGAGGTGGGGATGATGACATTGACGATATCCCAGATCTATCTTCACACAATATTCAAGACATGATGATTGGAAAGGATGGAGAAATATTGTCAACCTGTAAAATTAAGGTGGAGAAAGGCATGCTTATGGCCTCTACGAAGGACCAACATGGGATGTTGGAATGCGGGTGGTGTGGGAAGAAGTTCCAGTCGACCCCCTGCCCTCAACACTCACATGAAGGAGCATGTAGAATTTCCACACACCTGTCACAAGTGCAACAAAACCTTTTCCCGAGAACTGTATCTCCAGAAACACCTTCAGCGCCACAATGATGACCGACCCCATCACTGTGAGGAATGTGGGAAGAGTTTCCGCAGCGCCAGCTATCTGGCCCAGCACCAGCAGATCCACACCGGCGAGAAGAGCTACCAGTGTCAGCTCTGTGGGCAGGAGTTCATCTTCGCTAACAGTCGCCGCCATCTCAAAACTCACACAGACCTTGGTCCCAACACACAAGGACTGATCAGAAAGAAGAAGAAGAAGAAAACTTACAGACCAGTGAGTGAGATTAGTCAGGAGAATGTGTCCCAGTTGAACTGCACGCTGTGTGGCTACACCTTCAAAACTGTATCTCAGGTGGAGGAACATCTGAAAACTCACTCTGGAGAGAATCCTATCTTTGAGTGTAATGTGTGTAAAAAAGAGTTCAATAGTCATAGGTCTCTATGGAGACACAAGCACAGTCATGTGGACAATAAACCAATCAGTTGTGAAATCTGTAACAAGTCATTCCGAACCAGCTACTACCTGAAGTCTCATATGAATGCTCACAATGGTGCTAAGCCTTACAAATGTAAGTTCTGTGATTTACATTTTACATATGCTAGCACCAGGCGGCGCCACCAGCGAACACACATTCCAGAGGAGTGTATGAACTTCATGTGTAACATTTGTGGAAAGAAGTTTTATGATCAGTGTGATTTTGACCGTCACATGCTGGGGCATTCAGGAGAGAAGCCTTTTATGTGTGATGTGTGTGGAAAGACATTTGCCACTAAAGCTCTACTTAGGAGTCATCTGAACCGCCATAATGGAGAGAAGCAGTACAAGTGCCAGATCTGTAACAAGACGTTCCTCTACCACTACCGTTTGAAGCGGCACATCAAGACACACAATGCTGTGAAGGCTTTCAAATGTGACATGTGTGACAAGGGTTTCCTCACGCAGGCATATCTGTCCACGCATCTTCGTTCTCACACCGGCGAGAAGCCATACAAGTGTGAGTACTGTAATGAGGAATTCAGCTTCTCCAACACCTTCCGTCGACACAAGCGAATCCACACAGGTCAAACTCTCAACTGCTCTGTGTGTGGGAAGATGTGTCTGGAGCTGTTTGACCTGAAGAGGCACATGATGTCTCACTCCGACCTGAAGCCAGTCATGTGTGACATCTGTGGCAAGACATTCAGCCACCACAACAGCTGCAAGAGACACATGAAGAGGATCCACCCAGAGATGGTCCTGCCCTTTAATGTGTAGAACAGGTGCTTGTCGGGTGTCAGCAAGCATCTATATATGTGCTAGTGTACTGTAGTGTCTACAGTCCGTTTGGCTCAAAAGCGGACCGATTAATTGCAATCTAACTCGAAAACTAATAAACATAAAATACTCAATGAAACGCTGATCATAATCAAAACATCATACCCACTCTGTGAGGCTTTTGCAGAATTTTTGTCCTAAAAATAATAAAGTTGTTTAACAAACTATCATTAAAATATTGACACAGTTCACTGTTTGTTACGAGGGAGGAGTGCAGAGAAAGGGACAGCTAGGTGTTCGAGAAGCACGTTCACAGACAAAGTTATTTATTCATTAACCTGTGCTGTGCCGTCTCCATCCGTTCTCGAACACCTGAGTTTCATTGAGTATTTTATGTTTATTAGTTTTCGAGTTAGATTGCAATTCATCGGTCCGCTTTTGAGCCAAACGGACTATATATGGGTGACTAATATGGTCTGTATATGCACTGAATCTGGGGACTGTTTGTGATGGTCCCAGACATAAGCTTACATCAAAATGATACACGGGTGACCACTGTACCATCACCATGTGAAATACACATGTCTGATGCCATGTGCTTATTATGGATGGGGATTTCCATGTGTGAACAAGTCAGGTGATGGAATGAGGGTGTTTACACTTGATTTGTCTTTTGACTCATGTTCTGGGGTATGATATGGTTCTTCCTTGAGCAGTCAGGCAGAAAGAAGGTGGCTTGTAGGAGAACAGGCTTTTAACATGTCACATAAGCCTGATACATGAGAGTTTCATGTACAGGATCTACGGTACCCCTTATCCCTAGAAAGTCATACATTCCTTGGTGTATTTGCTAATTCTCCAAACAAAGGTAATTATAGTGGATAGATGGCTGTTGCAGTTTTACATTCAGTTTTGTCGCAACAGCACAGTTAGCAATGCAGAGTTGTGTCCCTTAGTTGTGACAGGATGTGCTCCCACATTCATATGCTGCAAGCAAGGATTTCGACTTGCAGCTGACATGTTGTGATCTGACTAAAATACCTTTCACCAAACTCATCTAGTCAGTTGCTGCATTGAGGACAGTTGTAAATTGTAGTATCTGATTGATAACTTTCTTGTTTGTATCAGGCCAGTCAGTTCTTCATGTTCATATCAGATGATGATGTAGCAAAACAAACCTTACACTTGTAACCTATGCAGTTGAGTGATACATGTTTTTGAATGTAATTATTAGTTATAAACTGTTAATTTTCAGCAATTTCTGTTCTGTCATCAAGTATATGTAATGTTCTCACCTAGAGATTGTGTTAGGTGCACAATTAGATCGTGTATTTGTTATAAATTAGAATATCAACATATCAGAGAGGTTATTTGCAGGTAACACAGTAAAACCCACCAACACTGGAATCATTTGTTTCTGAGAATATGATGTTCAGATCAGCAATAACGGTTTGGACCTTTTTGAAGGAAGGAGGGATGGGGTTGTAATATTTTGCCGTGACTTGTTACGTGGACAGTTCACAGTGAGATGATGTGACGACAACAGCAGCGACAACTGTAGATGAAGACAGGGTTGTGATGAAATAAGCAGCAGTGACTTTGCTGCATCAGTTGTCACTGTCAGTGTACCTTGAACTGGTAAACAGACAAGACTTGAAGATTATATATATGTACTGGTTTAAATCAAACATTCACCTAATGATCATTGGTTTGCCAGTACCAAGTCCATACTGATGATTATTTAAGAAAAGTGGTTAACTTGGACAACCTGCATCACCCAGCGTTTCCTACCCACCATAACCTGACACACAGTGATGTAACAGAAACAGTTTGAAGCATCTTGAGTCCTAACTGTCAATCTCGGACTGGTGAGGTTAGGTAGGACCCGAAATCCAGATATCAATGTATGCTTAGCTTGTTGTTATATCATGTTGAATTAAATTCTGTTATTTAAACATGATTTGTCAACAAATAAATAGAGATGAATTACTTTTTCTTGAAATTATTGTGATCATGTTTCATGATGTATTTATCAAATTGTAAATAAAATCCCCATATTTTGCAGTTAATGTGTCATCTTTGATACCTGGTGGACCACCCTTGGGAGCACAGGGCACCGTGTGTATGTTAGCGGTGGTCTGATTAATTGAAATAATCGAAGATTGGTCGCAGTGACTAAACCACCAATTGAAAATGTTTTCTCGTGATCGAACACAAACGATTTTGGAACGCTTGTTTGCATTAACAATATTTTTTCACAAGGTTGGTTTGTCTGTGTCATTAATTTTGCATTTAATAAACACTACAAGCTCGTTCCAAGTCATGATTGAATATATCTTAAATATTCCAGGAAATTTATGTTCCTAACATACTAGTCATCCTTTAAATTTGTGAAAAATGAAAATGCATTTTGTGCAATTTGAAAAAACCCCAAAGAACTACGTGTTTTTTCGTTATTTATTTTGGTAACAGGAACATTTGATAAAAGATGCAAACCAGTTATTTTCGATGATTGATCGGTTGTAATGGACCGATGATCAATTATGAGATTTTAACCAATTCTCAACACTAAGTGTATGTTATACACAACCTTCACATTAATGGATTTCTGCACTCTTCATGTAAAACAAACATGCTGTCCCAGTTTCAGTTGTATTTCAGAAACTTTACAGCGAAAACATCTTGCACAAAATGTGTGGAATGTCTGTCATGCCTTTGGGAGCTGCACAAAGTAATAACAATATGAATCTCAGTATGTCTTTGAACAAGTTCCAGAATGTTAACTTGACTGAAGTTGAGCAATGTTTCGGTGTAGGTTCTAACACCGTTACCATCAGTTGCTTATATCCATATATTGTTTTCCTTCCCCCAAAATTTTTCGGTCAACATACACAAGTTACAACTTATATTCATGACACTTCGTTTGTTATAACATAAGTTAGAGTTGAATCAGTACCGTCAGTACCGATGATGTGCCAATGGTGTGACACAATTTCACCCAAGCATCTTCTCCCATAGAAGCCAGTTTTGTATGGTTACTATCGAGGGCCAACCCTCCCCAAAGCCTTTAATTCATCTAAACTATCTACAAAACTCCTTTGTGCAAACTCGCAGCAAAACAGGGGCCTTGAGGTAGCGTTTGCTCATAATGATTATGGTTAAAATGTCTGAAGCCCATTTCGGTGTCCCCCAACGTGAAATTGCTGGATTATTGCTGAAAGCCGAGTAAAACTAAACTACCTCACTCAGCAGAACCCGTCAATTGTCAGTACTATCAACAACACACTTTCAATCTTCTGGTCAGCAGGGCTCCCGTCAGTAGTCAAGTGAATAAGAAACCAGTTCTATCGCCAGTCACCAGTTCACAGGTCATCAGTTCCTTTGTTTGTTTAACCGGTTAACAAAACTGCCAACAACGCAACTGCAATCATACAAACTATCTATTAAAAAGTAGGGAATATTCAAGAAACTATTGATATTGAATACCCGTGAAGTTCCACCTCTTCTTTCATTTCATTAATATTTGTCAGATTTTTCTTATTGACACTTTCCTTCATAAGTCCACAAACATTTTCTATTGGATTTAGGTCAGGGCTATAGCTTGGCCAATCTAATAATGTCATATTTTGGGTCCGAAACCAGGCCTGTGAATGCTTTGAACGTTGTTTTGGGTCGTCGTCCTGCTGGAAAATCAAAACATTTCCATAGGACACGTGAGCAGATGGAAGTAAATGTCCCTCAAGAATATCTGTGTACCGCTCACTGTTCATATTCCCTTCAAATACACAGAGGGGCATTGCCCCTAACACATATATGCCACCTCACACGTTAAATTTCGGACTGGACTTTGAGCGCTGAGACAAAGGTTTTTCAGTTTGTTTGGCCTGGAATTTCAGTGTGTTACGAAACAGCCACACAGAACTTTCATCTGAGAAAATCACATTGTCCCAGTTAAAATTTCTATGCTGTAAGCACCAGTTCAACCTTTGCTCCTTTTGTTTAGGTTTCATGATCGGTGATGGAATTCCGCAACTTTTCTGCCAACCCATTGCATGTAGCTCAGTTCTAAATGTCTCCTTACAGACAGCCACAGTTCCTCTATCAATCATATCTAGCCTTAAGTTTTCTAAACTCCTTCGTTTGTTTTTAGAAACAAAAATACCAAGCCGCCTCCTGTCACTGACAGTCAATTTTCTGGGCCTACCTGCACCTCCCTGGTGCTCAATGCCATATCCATTTGCAATATTTTTCAAAACACGATAAACAGTGGACAAAGGGATGCCTGTTCTACTTGAAATCACTTTAGCTGATCTGATGTCCTTGTTATAATACTCTAAAATCAACTTCCTCTTCTCTAAATCATCCGTACTGAGGATCACTGAAAATGTCGTCTGCTAGCATGTAAACAAAGGGGGATAACTCTTCACAAACTAATGAAAAAGGATTAACAGAGTTGTCTCTCTTGAATGAAACCAAGCACTTGACAGCTGGTCAAGGTTGTTTATACTTACTAGAAATCCAATTAAACATATTCCTTAAATTCACAATAATTTCTGGTCATACTATATTGTGGTGCACCACAAAGCTGTGTAATATCTCCTGTTCTTTTCACCCTCTACACTAATGATTGTGCAAGCTCGAATTCAACCTGTTCAACTGTAAAGTTCGCAGATGATGCAGCAATTGTCAGCAAACTGAACGACACTGATTCTGAAGGAGGCGAGGTGAGGTGAAATTGGGTTTTATGTCGTACTTGAGAATATTTCGCTCATATGACGACGTGCATGCGTGTGTATGTGTATATGCGGCTGCTTGTACTAGCCCAGACTTAAGCTGGTTTTATAGTGCTAGCCCACTGAGATACCATGCCGCAGTGAATTATGAATACCCCACTCACACACATTATACTGACTCCGAGCCGATCAGTCCTTGTTGTACCCATTAATGCCGAACGCCAGGCAGGGACCAACAAGTACCATATTTTAACGTCTCTTTTGATT